AGAAAGGTATTTCCATTTTGTATTACACCCACATAAAAATCCAACAAACTGTTGTTGCTCTTAGCTTTCCAAATGTCAATTCCTTATGACCGGAAAGAGAGCAAGTTTGCATGCAGACATACACACCCATTCACACACACGAAAGTGAAAACACATTATGTCACACCAGTTGATCTGTCATCAGCTTGTCATCAACACGAACAGTCTGTGTGGAGGAGAATTCTGACCCGTTTGTCGTGAAGATAGAGAGCTTGTAAAAACACAGACGCAACATCTTAACCCTCAAAGCTGTCCAGGAGAATGACACGTTTTGTGTGCGTGTGTGTCTGGTTTAGATATTGACTCTTTTCATCAGGGGGGGCCCTACGAACTGTGTTTAGTTGACTCATTCAGAGCTGGTAATTTTATGAGTTGGAGGACAGCCACTCAATGGAATTTTTGAATGATCTAATCGAGGCTAAACCTCATCCCATTGTGTCATGTAAGAAACAAAATCTATGTTCGTATTCAATTAACTTTCATACGTTTCTCTGCTCAAAACGTATGAACACTCAGCTGATCCTCAACTGCTTTTCTGTTTCTGGAATGTTTTATAATATAGAGTAAAAGATGTACCCGTGATATTTAGATACAGGGAGAGCTTTATCCTGGGAAGACTTCATACACACAGGGTCAGTCATGACATTTTTTACAATTGGGATCCAATGACTTATATAGTCTGAAACCAGGAAGGAAACAAATTAAGCTTGAACTCCACATTCCTGTCTTTCCCCTTGTATACTTGTATATTGATTTGTTAATTATTGTGTCCTTGAAAACTGGCCCCCAACACAGAAAGAATACTACCAATGAATGATTAGTCAAAACATGTTACAGGGATAGTTCACCCAAATATCTATAGCAATACAGACATATATCTGTATTATTTGGCCAGGTTATCTGGTGCCACCCAAATACCACAGAAATGAATGGATGAGATACATTTCATTTGTGGTGCTCATGAAATTCAGAAAAGACATTTTAAGAATCTACAGCAACATCTTCCTCCAGAAACAATGCCGTGCATACTCTGGGTAATTCACAGACTCAACAGTTTTTATTGTAACTACTGTTAAAGAAAGAATCTCTATAAAAACTGTTGACAGTATGTTGACAAATGGATTTGTTCCTGCAATTCACAATCTAAATTTTGTGACTGAAGATCACAAGGAGGTGAACAACACTTCAGTGCCTTGCTGTTGTATAACTACTTGTTAAGGTATTTCTTGGCATGTTGCCTTTACTGGAAAGCTGATAGTATTCAGATAAGAGTATAAAATGAAACAAAGGTCCGCAGCTGAAATCGAGCCTTAGACATTGCAGTAATGTCGTATGCACCTTAACCATTTGGCTACCGGGACCCCCTGACTATGTTTTTTAAATAGTCATCACCTTGAAGTTTTGAGTCATTCTTTATCTGTATCTCTCCGCTATCTCTGGGTGCAGGACGCTGTAATCCTCCACAACTCTTTCCATAAATATGTTATCATGCTCATGTTAGCATTAAGCTGACAAAGCAAAGCTGAAACTGACAAACAGCTGAAGCTAATATAATATAGCTGACTAGTGAAGTAGTGCAGAGTGTGGAAAGGGAAGCAAACTGCAATAATATATCACCCTTAAGCAAACATGTTCATGAGTTCATTTAGAAAACAAATCTTGATGTTTGCTGTTGATGATCTATTATAAATTATGATATATTTTTTTATATATATATTGTTTAAGTTGATTTCAATTGAAATTGAGCTCTGACTTGTGTGAAGTAGAGTCTGTTATGTTGAGAGAAAATAACTGCTTGTAATGTGATGCATAGAATTTAGAGTTTAGAACTTAAAATTGTGAATTGTGGTGATCTGTTGAGCAGTCATTTCACAGATCACTGAGGATTGAACACACTAGGACATTGAGGACCAAAATACACATTGCACTTGCAATTATTACAGTTGGAGAAAGAGAACATGCAAAATAAAAGAAAAACTTTCAAGAAAGACCTAAAGGCAAAACATAAGAGAATGAAGGCCTTTACAGCAGAGAAAACTGCTATCTGTGAGGAAAGGAAGGTCTTCAAGATTGAAAAGAAAGAGAAAGAGGCCTACATTCAAGACAAGTCAGACATCCAGAGGATGAGAGATTGTTTCCAGCTGGAGAAGGAGAACATAGAAAAAGAAAGAGAAACCTTCAACAAAGAATTCAGGGTCCAACGTATGAAAAGGAGGGCATTTGATGCTGAAAATGATGCAATGGCTGATGACAGGGAGTCCTTCAAGATAGAAAAGAAAGAGATGGACATGGCGAGAGAGGCCTACATTAAAGAAAAGACAGGCATCCAGAAGATGAGAGATGCTTCCCAGTTGGAGAAGGAGAACATAGAAAAATAAAGAGAAACCTTCAATGAAGAACTTAAGGAAGCATTTAAAAGGAGAAAGGCTTTTGAAACAGCAAATGGTACCGATCACAAAGGCCATTTCAACCAGTACTGTCAACATGTCAAGCAATTCATCTTCCTGCTTTATATCCGTTTGGCCCTGCAAGGATGAACAGGGTGACTGCAGCTGCACCAAGAAAAGTAGATATCAAAGATACACAAAGAACCAGACCCAGAAATCTTTCCAATGAGACTTCACAAGTACGATTGCGGCCTCAACACATTTGATTTGCTGGATGCAGGATCATTGTCTTTGCTAAAGAACATGCAGTCCCCCTTTAGTTTGGACATACATCCTTGGCATTTAGATTTGTCTTTGGGGAGGACTTCATGCTGCCTGCGAAGACTTCAAACACACACAGAGCTTGTCCATGTATTTTATGATATGCCAGCAGTAACTTAGAGAGTATGAAGCCCAGAAAGGAAACTAGATTTGAATCCTAGCTCCACTCCTGCTTTTCCCATGTGACACAGCACTGTAAGTTATAGCCCCCGGGGAAAGTTGGGAAACAGGAAGTTTGCAAAACCAATCAGATTGTGGTTCGTGTATACAGTGTGGCTAATGGAATGAAACACCTGTCACTTCAAAGAGTAAAATACTTGGCCTGGTTCTTCCATATTCTGTTTTATGTTTTTGAACATTTATTAAAAGTCTAAATATTGTTGGTGACCATCATTACATCAAAAATGTGGCATGATTAGGGATGTTATTGATTAAATGTTTCTCTGTCAAACAGCAATAAGAGTTTTGACTGTTTAATGCTATCTGTTAAACACTTTCTTTAAAAAAGCTAAAAGGAGAATAGCTGGTCTACCTTAAAGGTCAGCCCACCTTAAGTGAGCCTGATCCAGAGAGTTGTTGCTGACCTCAGGGCTAACCCCTTTCATTTTAATCAAGATATGGAAACTCTGCTTGTGTCTTGAGGAGTTGAAGCATTAATTCACAGGCAAACTGGACACACACTGCACTGCTACGTTCTCAGCTATATGTGAACTGGGGACTCGGTTGCCTGTTTTGCACAACCTGTTTACTCATCTGGTTTTCGTTGCAGCTGTGCAGCTTGTTGGGCACTTCAACCATAGCGCCTCTGCATGCAAGGCACTGATCTTATCGGTTGACAGTTAATGATCGGTTATTGAGGGTTGGCTATCATTCAGAAAGAAAAATCTAAATGAGCATCCCTAGGCATGATGAATGAGGAAAAAAAGGCTTTTTAGATTGGGAGTATGTGTGAGGAGAGGAAGGTGTACTAGAGAGAAAAGGAGGAGAAAAACACATGGATGCAGAGGAAGAGGGAGGCTTTCTGCAAAAAGAGGGAGAAACCATGCAGCCATCATGTCAGGCAGCATAAACCAAATATCTGCTTAGGGATGAAACTGGCAACAAAGGCTTGGAGTAAAATAGTGCAACTGCACACAGCTATGTATTCAAATATCACAAATAGTGAGTACAATTTTAAACGTCCCACAAAATGCCTCCAAAAAGAAACTGCCGGCTATATTTCTTTGGCCGTGAAATAAAGTCACAGTTCAAATCACATATGAATGAAATGTCGAAAAACAGAGAGGCCCAATTTATCTGCTATACAAACAAGCTTATTAAATGACTCTAATAAAGCGCAGGGAGCACATAAAGGTCATCTTTAAGCTTCTCACTCAGAAACACCCCGAGGTCACACAGACGTTAGAATGCATTTGAACATATTCATGCACACACATCCACATGCATACACACTGATTCATGGCACTGCATGTGACCTTTGGAGCCCTTTTTCTTTAAACTCAGCAAGAGGGAGGTTGGAAGGAGAGTAAGCGAGATCTAATTGAGGACATGACAGGAAACAAGGAAGTTGAGAGGGGACCTTTATGCGTCTGTAATTGGTCTAAAGAGGAATTGCCAACATGCGCACCACAGGTGGCCACAGGCTCCGTCTAAATAGCTAACCTTATAAAAGTCATTAAGGCCTCTGTGACATGCCATATGTGTGTGTGTGTGTGTGTGTGTGTGTGTGTGTGTGTGTGTGTGTGTGTGTGTGTGTGTGTGTGTGAGGAGGTGTGTATATATGTATGCATATATAGAGGGATGTGTGTGCTGTCTGGGTATAGGCCACATTTATGTGTGATGGTATCTTTGTTAACCAAAATGAATAGTGATCAACTGTGAGTAGCAGATCTTACTAAGCACACATTCAGTGATTCATTTCACAAACACTCTCACTGTCTATTAACAGTGCCAGAGACATGTGGCCAGAACAGAAAATTGATTTCCAATATGGCTGGTTAACCAGGAAAGGTTAACTGATGTGGTGACAGATGTGGGGACAGCATATCTGCACTTCTTTGTTACCCAATAAAAGTGATTTAATTCAATGCGCAATAGTTTTTCCTGGCAAATGTAGAGCGCAAAAGGAATCAATTAAAGTCATTGAAAGAGTATTTTTATAACTAGCCCTAATCCCAACTATAATCAGAATTGTGAAAGCAGCATAAAACATTTGTGGCTGTGTCACTACATGCAACCCCTGGATTCACTTACCTTCTTCTGCAGGACATTAACCTTCCTCTCCTTGACATCCAGCATGTCCTTCATGTCTCTGATCTCTCCAGTCAGAGTGCTCTTCTCATCGGTCAGGTCCTGCAGCTGCTTGGTCTTCTTGGTCAGGAACTGCTCCTTCTCCTCCAGACGCACTCGCAGAGCGTCAACCTAGAAAAGACCAAGATAAGAAGTTAAGATAAGCAGATAAAAAGTCAGACAGAAACATGAACAGACAAAACAATAGAGATTTGGCAAGGGAGCTGCTGTACAACACAAACTATATTGTGATACTAACAGACAGGTAGACAGAATGTCAGACAACCAGAGAGAAAATAAGAGTCAGAGTGTGTAATATAAACCAATATTCATACAGTTTAGCCAGACAGGCAGATGGATAGGAAAGCATCTCGGTTGAACGTAGTATGTAATAGACAGGAAAAAGATCAGATTGACTGAAACAGAAACATTTACTAAAATACAAAGAAATACAACTTTTTTTTTCTTCTGGAACTGACATTTCTCAACACATTTACTTGTTGACATTTGGAAGTAGTAAAAGGTCGTTATGGACCTACTGTCCACAACATGAACCACTGTGAAGTGATGCAGAGAGAAGGAGCCTGTCCCATCATCTGTTATTAGGAGTGCTGTGTGATTGGGCCAGCGCTGCCATAGATCAGACTGCTCCCACACTTCACACTCACACATTAAAATCCTCCGTATCTGGCCACGTGCAATGAGATGAGTGATATCTGAGCTCAGTCCAGAACTTATTATTGGACATCTCTCAGTGTTCTGCTGCACCGCCTACAGTGACCCACACACACAAACATTCACACACACACACACACACTCTCAGCTGGCTGTCATTAACTAGCTCCTCTGTTGCTCTTCAACACCTGATTACATTTCCAGCACTTTTTGCCATGGCGCAATGAGCGAACCCATTTGAACTTCATTTTAAGGTGTGCAGCTTTTTTATATGAATTCATGAGACACACACGCATTCTGTGGATGAAGAAAAGAAGTGAGGGAGGTCTTGTTAACAGTCGTTTTAACAAGCCTCACTTGGAGACAGAGAGGACGTGTGAAAACACTTAAAGCACAGACTCTGTTGTACTCTCCAGCTCATCTTTCAACTATTTCACAGGTCACTTAAGGAAGAAGGGAGCAATGGTGGGAAGTAACATATAAACTTACTAAAGTACTGTCCAAAAGTACAACTCGAGTATTCGACTTTATGCTACTTCATATTTGCACTCCACTACACTTCAGAGAAAATTAAGTTACTTATTTGACGGTTATAGTTACTTTGCATATTGAGTTTAAAAACCTACAGTGAGCATATCAAATATAATGCATATACCGTAAATAAAGCATAATTAACAGCATGAAAAGTAGTAAAAAGTTCTCCACACAGCTCCGATGTTTAAATATTTCCTACAAATGAAGTTCAACATTTTGAGAAAAAGGGTTTTTCCCTGTTTTTCAAAGCGTTATATGAGAACAACCATGTGATCAATACAATGAGGCAGTTATAGACATATGTTTACTTTTACTTAGAAATAGTTTATGAATCGAATGTAGTATGTTTACATTGCAATATTGGTACTTTAACAACAACACACTACAAACTGTTGACTGTGGCAGTAAAAACTAAAGAAATGGAAAATAACACATGTACTGAGAACACAATCGAGAGATATGGTGTTGGGGCTGCGTTAGTTTCTACCTGCCCGTATGAATGTGTGTAAAATGAGATTGCACCTTGCAGGCCGCAGACACACAGAGGGCTCCTCTCAAGCAGTAGCATTAGAAGCAGGCCGGGACCCCCAGGTGTAAGATGGTGAAGTATTTATCTCATATTGCTCCTCTGGCAGACAACCAGAGACTAATACTGAGGCCTGCTCTGTCCTCCCCACTCCACACTGGCACACGCACACACACAGGAACTATACACACACACCCACACACTAGTGGAACCACTAATCCTTTTGTGCGTACAGTATGTTAGCACACGCAAATCATCCTGTGCTGCACCAATGTGTTGCCGCATGCGTGAGTGTGCATTAGTGTTTGCCACTGTGTGTGTGAGACAGAATAAGGGAGAGGGAGAGACCCCCCTCTCCTCCAACCCCACCTGGCAAGGAGCAATTTAGCAAGAATGTAGCAGAGAGGCCTAACAGGAAATCCCTGCTGTCTCACCTGCACTGGCCCACTAAGCTGTGATAGTGCTGTACAGACACCCTGCTAATACCCTCTTAAAGCAGTCACCGCTGCCAGGCACAGTTCACGAAAAACAAGGAGGGAGAGATGGACAGATGAGGAGGGAGGGATGAAAGGATGGAGAGGAGTTAGGGTGAGAGCAAGGGGAGGGATACATAAAACACACACCAAACTCACTCAATCACCACACACTGCCAAAGCCTTTCACCAACACACACACAGAGCAAGTGTTCACTGTTTTCTGCTATTTTCTTTATTTTATGAATTATTTTATGAATTGTTTTCTTTTTAATCTCATTATTACTTGACCCTTTGGCAATATTATTTTCGTCGTTACACTCGTGCCAATAACATAATTAATTGAATTGAGTGAAATATGGTGGAGAGATATGATGGAAATTATTCAGAGCACATCAACACCACTGACATGCTGCTCTTCCACCGGCTGAAACTGCGACTCCATCAGCAGGTCTGTAACAGGAAATACTGTATGGCTTTATCAGCTGGCACACATGCTGAGATGATAGACAGCTAACAAGTCAAGGTGATTAACCTCTCATTTCTCCTTCAATTTCCTCTCCAATTTTCCTTTCCCTCTAGTCCTGTTCTTCTCAATGTCACCGTCCAACAAAACCTCTCACTTTCAACCCGCCACCATTACCTCTCTTTCAACACTCCATCCTCGCAGCCATGCTCTATACTCTCCAGGAGTTTTCCTATTGCCGTTTAAAGGTGCATGGCCTGTGGTGAGACAAAGTGATGTGTTGGTGTGAGAAATCCCTCAAGTCCTCAAAGCCAGGTTGTCTTTGGGACAGGCCCACATTTCCCAACTATGACTTTGTAGCTTTGTGCATTTTTGTGTGTTTCCATGTGAGAGTGATAATACGCAAAGCAGAACTCCTACGCTCTCAAAGACAACTGGGGTACTGATTCTGCTTATTTAATTGGACACTGGGGACCACATCCTGTTTTGTTATTACAGATTTTTTGTTTGTTTAGTGTATGAGAGAAAGAGTAAGAAAGTGAGAGGTGAGGAAAAATAAGTAGAGGAGCCAAATGCTGCCCAGTTCAAATCCAAAATGAACATTGGAGATTGCATTGAGGCGTTCCTCAGAATAGATGAATTAAAAACACATCTATATCCCCCATTGTCCCCCCAAAACCCCACTTAAGCTTTCCAGCCTTTCACTCAGCACTATATCCTTTAAAAAATGACCTTGATATGTTTTCAAGATTCTGTTAAGATTCTAACTATTAATTATTTGTAATGTGTGGAATGTGTTTAAACGAATGACCACTCTATAGTGCATATATTCAACGGTTTTCTACATGTACACATGCATGCACCAGCAATTAAAGATGCAGCAATGCACACACATGCATAAACGCACTTATTCTCCTTGACTTCCTCTCTGGTGCCTGCAATGACAGCCAAATCTGGATTCTGGACACTAGTTAGCAAAGTAAAACGGAGGCTTAAAGAAAACAGCTTCTCTGTTTGTCCTCACCTCCCCTTTTCCTGCCTCACATTTCATCATAAAAGTTTTTCTGGCAGGCAAATCTGCAAAGGTATCAGGTCCAGCGTCGGCTCTGGGCCGCAATAGACAACACAGGGATTATATGAGTAGACCACAGTCAAAACGGCAGAACTAAAAACGACCACAGCAAAGGCCTGGGGATGCACCGATACTTGCATACTCAAACACTGACAGTTGCACTCTCACTCACCCACTTGGGCACGAGTAGAGTCATAGTTTGACCAGAAAATAATTTTAAATATGATCTCTTATCTCTCGCTCTGGCTCTTTAAATATCTCTGACCTTCACACATGGACACATTAACACACACACACACACCATGAATTTCACTCATTCTTCGTGTTTCTGTTCAAAGAATAAGTATGAGTGTCACATCAGCTGACAACACCACCATAAAAGTTGTTAAATCCCAAGCGTGGGTCTGGTGGAGTGTATAGATGTCTGAACTCAGGTCTGCTCGGGCTGCTGCGGTGCACTAGACACAGCTGTGTGGGATATTCAGTTCGCTGGCTGTATGATGTCCAGCCAGCCTGTATAAATACAGCACCAGGCAGCCATTAGACATAATTTATTTGAAGACCCATGCTGTGAAATTAATCATCTAAATTTATGAAATAATGTTTAACTATTCATGCTTGTATAGCCATTAATGTGGCCAAGTCTGGATTGTATCACTAAAAGAAAGAGGGCTATCTCATTTCAAGATGATGCTGAACCACCAGAGAGTCTCCCATATTAGCTATAATCACTCAAATATCTATTTTTATTTAAATATATGCATCAAAGACAAACCAAGTGGGATTTTTTTTCATTTGAGCATATTAATGCATGTTGGCATGTATGTACGCATGTGTGTGTGCACAGGTGCAAGGAGATGTTGCAATGTCAAACGGAAGAACAAGGCACTTCACAGAGCGACTCTGAATAAGGGCCGAGCTTCTCCAAGACTCTGCATTGATTCTGGGTTCTCTCATTTACACACATACACAAACTGTCACACACACACACACACACACACACACTGTATTTACAAGCACATGCACGCACTGAGGATATTCTCTCCACCTGAGCTGGCCGCACCAGACATGACGACACCGGGGCTGATCTGTACGGAAATGAAGGACGTTCCCTGTCCTGAGTCTTAGGCTGGATGTCATTTGAGGTGTGTCATCAAAGCCAGGGTTAAGGCAACAGTCTGAGCTCTGATCAGGAATCATATAATCACCTGTCTGATCACCTCAGGGTCGGTTAGGGATAATAAGCGGATGTAAATGCCTCACAGCAGGGGCTGCGAGGTGGAGTTTGCGGCACAGTCTCATTGTACACTCAGACATCTGTGGATCAAACCACGGCAACACAGCTGTCTGCCCACAGGCTACAGAGGGAACATGGGAAAGAGCAGA